ATTGTTTGAAAAGTGGTTGTTGATTTCGTGGGTTAATTGAGTATGCTAAAAACTAAATTTGAATTGCATATTTAAGGGGGTATCTTTACTTTATGAACTTAGAAGAGAGTTAGGAGTGTTAGACATATCTTAGAATCAAAATCTATGCAAATTTTTGCATTTTTCGTAAACTTAACGCTTCATAATCGATTATCACTAAGTTATAATCGATTATTCATGCATCAAATTCAATTCTGGAAAATCTTGAGCAGATAATCGATTATCATTATGCATAATCGATTATCATGCAATTCTGGGCAGTAATTATTGAACTGATAATCGATTATCACGAGCCATAATCGATTATCACGCTGACAGTTTCAAAAATAGAGCCGTTGGAGCATCCCATAACGGCTATAAACGACCATAAACGGCTAGTTTGTCCATTTTTCTTATAAATAGCCCCCCATAATCGATTATTAGACACTCCTTTGCACCCAAATACTGCTGAAATCAAATCTAGAGCTCAAATCTTCTTCATTTCCCTTCACCTTCTCAAAATCTCATTTTCCCATTCTTCCTCCATGGCTGACTCAAGAAGGCACCGTCGCAGAACAGCTGGAGCCTCCTCTTCTTCTCAACCACGTCTTGCAAACATAGATGGATGGATTTCAGATCAAGGGAAACACGCAGACTTTGTTAATTCTTGGCAAGAAAGGAAGATCATGGCGGTAAAGTTTATTCGTCTTGACTTTTTCCGCTTCTATGGCTTTCAATTTCCAAACACTTTTGCTGAGCAGGGGTTAACGCATCTGTTAGAACAAAAAGGCTGCATTTATCCTGATCTGATAAGAGTCTTCTACTTCAACTTGCGCTATCGAGATGGGATAATATCTACTAAGGTCAAGGGAGTACGCATCATTTTAGATGATGACATATGGACCAATGTTGCTCAACTTCCCATCTGGGATGATGCTGTCAAAGTCCACTTAGGACTTGAAGATTTCAACAGGATGATGACTTTTCAATCCTTCCTACGTCATCCTGAACGACAAACAAATAGAAGGCAATTACTGGTTGGAGGTTTTAAAGTTGAAGAAAGGATGATCCACTACTTGATTGTCTGGATTTTATGTCCTAGAGCAACCAACCATGCTCAATGCTCTGAGCAGGATTTACTTCTATTGTACGGGATTCTAAATCACATACACATCGACTGGCCTGCTCTCATTGCTGACACAATGGTAAAAGCCAAGAAATCCCATTCATATCAACTTCCCTATGCTCTTCTTATCTCTAGGATTTTAGAATTCAAAGGTGTACCTGTTGAAGGAGAACTAGTTCAAAATATTGAAGCTGTGGGATCAGAAATTGGAGATACAACCTTTCGTCAAATGGGATTCATTACTAGAGGAAGAGTCCTTATTCACAAAGATGATGATCATCCTGATGTAGATGAAGATGATGACATGGACACTCATATGGCTGACCCAGTAAGTGCTGCTGCTCCGTCTGATGCTGGACCATCCAACATACCCTCCTCTTCCTCAACTTCTATGGAAGAACATTTTGCAAGGTTATCTAAACAATTGGAGGATATGAGTCTTGCACAAAAGACTCACTTTGAGGAGATTTATGAGTGGCAACGATCTGTTGATGAGTACATGGTTGATCAATTTCTTGATCTTGATGTTCGTCTATCTAACATCGAGAATCATCTCAACATTCAACCTCCCGAGAGATCTCCTAGTCCTGAGTTTTAGATATAGGTTCTATGTTAGACTGTTTTGTTGTTTACTTGCCATTTCATCTATGTTATAATTCTGTCTGTTATGTGTCTTCTTATAATGTAATCTTTATTTTCATAAATAAAATGATCTCTTGATTATATGCATCCTTTGATTAATTGAGGGGGAGATCATATTTAGGGGGAGCCTTTAACATCCGATCTTTTTGCTTCTGATCAAAAAGGGGGAGAAGAATAATACAAGGGGAGAAGTATAAATTATTACAGGTATTGCTAACCTTGTTGTTGTTTGTTAGCTTGTATGTTTTGCAGGTAAGCCAAACTTGCTTTTAAAATTGAATTTTTGATCATCATCAAAAAGGGGGAGATTGTTACCAATAAGGAGTATTGGTAAATCTTGAAGAAATTTGTTTTGATGATGCTACAAGAAGTTTTAGTTGCAGAAGATATTAGAATTAGTTAAAAGCAATTTGTAGAAATTAAATGTAGTAGGAAATTCTTGTAAACCTTGTAAACTTGCATTTTTAACTACAATAATCGATTATGATTAAGCAATAATCGATTATCACAAGTCATACTTGAATAATCGATTATCACTTCATATAATCGATTATCACATTTTTGAAAACCTATAACGGACTTGAATAATCGATTATCACTTACAATAATCGATTATTCATGGCAGTTGGGAGCTGACCTTTGGCACTCAGTGTACTTGGCTATATATTTTGTTTTGGAGAAATTAGAAAGTAACGTTTTTGAACTGAGAAAGCTTAGAACACTGTGTGTCAGAGGAACGTTCTTAGAGAGCTTTTTGTTCATTGCTCCCTTGCTTGGTCTTGTGAAAGGAGAGGCTCGCGTATCGTGTGTCGATAGTCGGAGCAGACTCTCTTCAAGTTAGCAAGGTGCTCTGCCTGGTCTTGTGAAAGGAGAAGCTTGTGAATCGTTGGTCGATTGCTGAAGCGGTTCTCTTCAAGTTGGTAGAGTGGTTCTCTTCATTTTATTCTTGTTCATTATCTTGTAATCTGTTAAACAATTTTTTAGTGAAAAAGGTTAATCACTATTTATAGTTATTAACGACTGGACGTAGAATCTTTTGATTTGAACCAGGATAAAAATTCTGTGTTGATCTTCTTATTCCCTAAACTCATTTTATTTTACGTATATCAACTGTATGATTAATTTTCTGAAAGAAAATTATTTTTACTAAAAGGACCAAATTAAGTTTAATTGTGATCGAATACGCTTTCCACTCTCTGAGTTTTAATTCCGCTGCGCTATACTCTTCGAAAAATACCCCCTCCGATACCATCATGTTGTCTGCACGAACTCCAGCCCGAGAAAGTAACTCAGATTGCCAAGATTTGTCATATCAAATTCTTCTTTCATTCTCTTTTTGAATTCTTCAATTTCATTTGCAGAGTTTCCAGTCACTAGAAGGTCATCTACATACAGACAAATCAACAAAGTAATTTGTTGTCCAACTAACTTCACATAAACTTGAAATTCCATAAAACATTTTTGGAATCCTAATCTGAGAAGCAATGCATTGATGTGGTTGTTCTAGGCCCGAGGTGGCTATCTAAGCCCGTATAAGGCTTTGTTCAGCCTATATACCTTCTGATCTTCACCTTTTTTCTCAAATCCAGGGGATTGTCTCACATAAACCTCCTCTTCTAATGGTCCATTCAAGAACGCTTATTTCACATCCATTTGACAAATTTTCCAGCCTTTAAAACTGGCCACTACAACCACTAATCTCACTGTTTCAAGCCTTGCAACTGGTGCAAAGACATATGTGAATTCAACTCCACGTTTCTGCAAAAAACCTTTTGCAACCAATCTAGCTTTAAGATTTTCTATTTCTCCATCCGGTTTGTACTTGGTCTTAAACACTCACTTGACCTCAAGGAGCTGTTTGTGTTGAGGCAGTTTTATGATCTCCTAGGTTATGTTCTTCTCAATTGCCTTCAGCTCCTCCATCATTGCTTCTTTCCACTCCTTTACATCAATTGCTTGCCTCCAAATAAGTGTTTCTACATCAGCCAAGAAAGAAAGGGGGATGAGATCACCATAATTTGCTATATCACTATCTTCAAACACCTCATGTTCTCTGAGTTTAGTAGAGGGAAATCTTGTTCTTTGAGATATTCTACTATTAGTTTCAACATTAGTAGCAGCCTGTTCAACACTATCATAGTTTCCGTCTTGTAACCAGCTAGGCACTAAACTTGTTTTCACGTCTGCCTCAGCTTCCTTCCAGTCAAATGTGGTAGCCTCATCCACTATCACATCTCTACTGATAACAACTTGTTTCTTCTCTGGACTGTACAACCTATAAGAACTTGTTGAATGGTAGCCAACAAGGATGAAGGTTTCACTCTTATCATCCAGCTTCTTTCTTCTCTCATATGGAATATGTTTGTATCATATAAACCCAAAAATTCTCAGGTGATTAGTAGCTGACTTGATTCCTGGCCAAGCCTCTTCAGGAATACAATTCGATAGAGCTATTGTTGGGCTTCTATTAAGCAAATAGGTTGTAGTAGAAACAACCTCTCCCCATAGACAATGTGGCAGCTTCTTTCCTTTTATCATGCACTTGGTCATGTCAAGCAACATCTTATTCCTTCTTTCGGCCAGGCCATTATGCTGGGGTGTATATGGAGCAACCACCTCATGCACAATTCCTTTATCATCGCAGAATCTGCTCATTTTGCTAGAGTTGAACTCTCCTCCACCATCAGTTTTGAAGGTCTTGATTTGCAGACCAGATTGCCTTTCCACCATGGCGCAAAATTTAACAAAGCATAAGTACACTTCTTTCTTTTCTTTCAACAAATAAATCCAGATTTTCCTAGTCCATTCATTTAAAAAAATCAGGAAATATTTGTTACCTCCAAGTGACTGCACATCAAAGGGCCCACACACATCAGAGTAGATAACTTCAAGAGGTTGCTTTACTCTCTTGAGAACAAATTTCTTGAATTCTTTTCTAGTTTGTTTCCCAATAGCACAACCCTCACACACCTTGTCAGGAATATATATCATTGGAACCCCTTTTACCAATTCTCTGCCTTTCAAGTGACTCAAACTTTTAAAGTTCAGATGCCCAAAGCGATAATGCCATAACCATCCTTCCTCTTCAGTATTAACAACAGCTAAACACTGAACAACAGTAGCATTCAAATTCACCTTAAACATTCTGTTTCTGGCAAGAGGAACCTTGAGCACTAGACGTTGCCTTTCATCCAACACTTCTATGTGTTTTTTTCTACTTTGACATGGTGTAACCTTTTTCTAGAAGTTGTCCCAAACTCAACAAATTACTCTTCATCGTTGGAACATACAACACATTGATCATGTAGGCGGATCTGCCGTCCTTGCGAGTGATCAAGACCTTGCCCGCTCCTTCAGCCATGATCACACTATTATCTGCAAATCTCACATTGCTTTTTATGCTTGTGTCCAGGTTTATCAGCCATTCTCTCTTACCTTTCATATGGTTGGAACACCATGTGTCCAAGTACCAACATGATTCATCCTCTACATGGCTTGTTGCATTTGATAGAAACACGTGGTCTGTCTCTTGGTTGAACCTGACCAGCGCATAACCTAATTCTTGTTCACACCTGTCCAGCGTCAACTTCCAGCATAATTCATCTTCATCATGCCTAACACATGTTCCGATTCTAAGCCACACGTATCTTATGCAAGATTTTCTTTATCATTCTTTTCTTTCTTCACAGCTTCGTTATGCTAAGATTCTGATGAGTAGTGTCCATGCTTGTTGCAAGTATAACATAGATTGTTTCTTTTATCAAGATTCTTTCTACCTTTGCCTCTTGACTACCTTGCACCTCTCTTGTTTACCTTTCTTTGTTCGCTACCATTTTCTTCAGTAGGTTGTTCAGAGAATTTTGTGTTTCTGCCTCCAGTTTGTCCACCTCTTGAACGTCCTCTGCCCCTTCCAACTCCACAACCCATGAAATTTTGGTCATTTTTGGCTTGTAAGGCTTGATTTATGCCTTGATTCAAGCCTTTTTCCGCATTCTTCCTTTCCATCAGACTTCTTCATGCGCTTCCAAAGAATTCTACAACTCTTCCACCCTCATAGTTTCAAGATCCTTGCATTCTTCTACGACGACGACTATATGGTCATATTGAGGAGTTAACGTTCTGAGAATCTTCTCAATAATTTTCTTGTCTTTCACGATTTTGTCACAGGCTCTCATTGCATTCACCACAACTTCAATTCTTCTAATGTACTCCACAATTGTTTCTTGCTCTCCCATGCACAGAAGTTCATACTCCCTTTGTAAAGATTACAACATGATCTTCTTCACTTTTCCAGAGTTGTTATAGGCTTCTTGCAGAATGTCTGAAACCTCCTTTTCCGTTACAGCCTTTGAAACTTTTTGGAAGATAGCAACAAATATACACTGATGCAACAACATTCTCGCTTTGCAGTTCACCCTCCTGTTCTCCTTGTACAATTTCTTCATCTCTTCTAAATCACTCTTCAAAGGTCCTTTGAAGTCTTTCTTTACAATTTCATTCACTTCTTGGAAGCCAAGAATTGCATCCATCTTGACGCACCAATCATCATACCCTTTGCCATCAAACACTAGTAGATTGCTCTGGACCATTCCAACCATCACTTCTTTCGAGACTTTCCTCTTATTGATGCATATTTTGAGCTTCACCACTATTCACCAGGTTTTCGCAACCTGACTCTAATACCATTGTTAGTTCACGCTATTTGGAATTATGCAACAAATGCAAAAGGATAATGCAGAAAGTGGTACAGAGATAGAGAAATCTCATTAATGGTTGAATGAAGATGCATAAGTATATATGTAATTAGAAAAAAGTGATTATGACAACAAGTATATATAGTCAAAAGGTCTAACTGCCATGACAGTAGTTTGGATTGTAACAACAATTACCACAACTGAGTGTAGGCGTGTATAGCACAATATTGGGCTCAACAAATTGCACAACGACAAAGGCAACAAAAATAAAAACTTCATCAAATGTTCTTTTATGAAAGAAACAACATATAAGTACTTACTATCCTCGGGAACATATGATTTGATTCCTATCCATGAATTAGTGTTGTGCATAATTAATGTAATTGCAGTGAATTTTATTTTATCTATACTATTTTATATTATATTAACTACACTATTTTTATTAAAAACTAAATTATATTATTTTCTAATTCATTTTTTTAAACTAAACGTTTGCATTTGCAATTCAGTTAACTGTAACACCCCTTACGGAGTGCCACTAAAAACTAACAAAATCCAAAATTTTACGCCAAATTTTTTTTAAATTAACATCGCGGAACCAAACGATCAAAAGTTTAAGCGTCTTACAACATAAGGTTAAAACCTTACAATTATCAAATTCATTATTCAAAGACATAAAATTACATTAAAACATGATAAATCCCCCATAGTCATTCCCATAACTCTCGTCGTGCTACTTCATCTCTGCCTCATCTGCAATGCCATCTACTCCCGTACAAGTACGATCATCGTAGGTGGAAACCACAACCACAACATTTCAGGGTGAGTAACGAAGAATCTAACATAGCATATAATTTAAATATCAAAATATCATAACTTAGATTATCCTAGTCACAACCTTACAATACAACACAATATTCAACTCGTAACTCAGATCATCACCACTTAGACTATCAAGTCACAATATTACAATACAACACAATATTACGACTCAATCATTTACTCAAGCTTCTGTTGTTTCCTTGAATTTTGTCGTACCAAACCTGTTTCGCAAAACAGGGCGATTCGAGCCATCTTCCATCGCAACTTCAGACCTATCTCCCCGACTTTTCAAGGAATTACGAGTAAAAACTTCGGTTAGGCGCACCCACCGAGCACTATACTCACACGAGCCGAAGTCATTGGGCGAGACATTCAACCCTCTCTGGTCTTCTCAGTGAGCTTGAAGCATTATTTTGGTTTTATGAGGATTTGAACTTGAGACCAAGTACACATACCCTCCATGCACACTCACATCAACCACTAAACCAAGCTCCATTCGCTGACATAATAGCGCAAACAATTATACTAAAACACTCTATCAAACTTTTCCGAAAATTAATATAAAACCAATATTAATTTAATTTTCTTCCCTTCCTTAAATATTTTTCAACATTGATTCTCATCACAAGTTATTATATAATACCACAAAGTAAAATAGTTAAGGTAAGAAATCATTTTATTTTGACGAGTCTTACATTAACTGCAATTCAATAACATGAAATCAGTGTTTTAAAATTAGGATTGAATTGGATAAGAAACTGAATTTGTATTACATCTCTCCTATTTAATAAATAGTCCTTCATTTGACATTTTTGCCAGTGTTTTTTATATTTTTAAAGGTTAAATATGTTTTTAGTTCCTAAACTATATCACGCGATTTTGGGTTTCGTCCCTCTTCGAAAGGTTTGTTCATTTTCATCCTCTTAGTTTTAAAACTCTTACTTTTAGTCCTTAAAATTGAACGACATTAATTTTTCTTTGATGTGGCAAACGACGAGCCACGTGTTATGCCACCTTCCCTTGTTATTGTGTGTCACGTTGCTTTTCTTCTTTTTTTTATCCTCCTACGACTCCATCGTCACCTTCACCTCTTTCATCTCCATCCCCAGCTTTGCTCCTCTGCCAACGACACCTTCTCCGCGAGTAGAAAGAGAAAAAGGTTCCCAAGTAGCAAGTAGAAAAAGAAATCAGAAGCAAAGAAAACCTAAAACCTGTCTTTGAGCTCGCCATAACACTGACCTGATCTAGTTCTTTCAAATTTATTCATCTATTTAAATTGTCGCCACCCAAATGCAGCTCCCAGCTTGGTTTATGTTTCTCTGTTTATTCAGAACTCCATACTAGATTGCTACTTTTCCTTTGTCAAAAACACTTGATGAGCCAACACTACTAGTGTCCCGGGGAAGTCAAAGAAATCCAATTTTTGAAATCTTCAAGATTCTGGTAAGCATATTAAGTTATGTAAGAATTCATTTAGCGCTACTGGCTACAAATAACAAAAGCCGAGACAAATTCTATGGAGTTTCAGTCATGGATGCATTTAAAAAGGATACGCAATTCAAAACTTGAACAAAATTCTAAACTCAAGATTCAATCAGAATATCATAACAATTTCAAGAAGCTTAGAACAAAAACGGTGGGGTTGGGAACAAAATGCGAGTGGACTCATCCTGACAAAATGAATGGTATATGTGAATGTGAGATAAGAAATGTTATTGGGATGACCGAGTAGGGAAGAGAAGAGAAGATATTGTTAAAATTCAAAATCCTAACTACCACCGCTCGATCTCGTTCATGCACCGCTCGGTCTCGGTCATGCCACCGCTCGGTTGTTAGGACTCAATCCACCCACCGCTTCACCGACCGCTCGGTCTCGGTCATGCCTCACTGGAAATGCATCCTAATAGTAAAAGCTCCATTCAGGATGCACAACTCAATGCAATTGAAGTTTTCAAAATCATCAACACAAAAGACAGTCTTGTTGAACTGAACCTAGACCCTCTTCCACAAACCCCTAATAAACAAATCTCAAAGAAGAAAAATAACAGCACCAAGAGACCCCTAACTGCTGAAGTTGCTGGTGCAGTTTTCGGTGTCGTTTTCCTCTCTCTCACTGTTTTGTTCCTCATCAAACACAGAAAGAACGTCTATGTCAACAAGGCTCCCAATAAAAAATATGGAACTTCTCTGGGTAGTGGCTCATCTTCGCTACCCACCCACCTCTACCGCCACTTCTCAATTGCAAAAATCAGAGCAGCAACCAACAACTTCGATAAACTCTTAGTCGTTGACATGGGGGGCTTCGGTAACGTGTGAACGAAGACTCTTTTGTAGTGAATGGAGACTCTCGAGAAATTACACCTCCAGCGGTGCAAAAGCCGCAAGCAGAGAGCTTTGGAGAGGGAAGGTCGATCGCCGGCGAGACTTTTCCAATGCGGAGGCGCCGTGGAGCGGGTTCTCAACAGTAACGACAACCTTTGGGTAACTGTTAAAGATTGATTAGATTGACACGTTTCAAAAGAAAAGAAAAGTGATGTGGCTCGCCATTTGCCACATCAACGAAAACTTAACGTCGTTCAATTTTAAAACTAATAGGATGAAAATGAACAAACCTTTCGAAGATGGATAAAACCCAAAATCGCTTGATAGTTTATGAACTAAAAACATATTTAACCCTATTTTTAATTATCCTTCAAATTTTTTTCCATTTTAAATTATTCTTATTGTTTTCTGAAAAAATTTATGCTCATCCGCTTTACTATGCCATACACCCTTCCGCTGTCACTCCCCCACTCACCCCTTCCAAATTTAAATGATGCCAAAATCATCTCCCCCTCAGTACATAAATCAAAGCTACTTTTCAAGAGTTAATAAAAATGATAGTTTAATATATACAAATTTTTTATATTTATTTAATATTATATTTTTTATTTTATTTTATTTTTTAAAAATACGTCACACCATCGTTACTCTATTAAAAATCCATGTTATTCTAATAAAAGTAAAAAATTTAAATATTATTTATAAACAATTTGCAGATATATATGTTTCGAAAACGTCAACAACACTACTTCTTTATATCAGAACAACAACAAATGAGAAGGAGCCACAGGCAATTAACCATATATTCATCTTTATTTATTTATTTCTCGTAGAACGACACCAACACTCTCTTTCTTCTCCTAAAATCTGATTCACATCTTCAACTCTGTGTTACAAAGAAATCTACTCTTCAAACCACCAACTCTCATCCTCTGCAGAAACTGTTTTTCTTATATAAGCTCAGTGCAACACAATCTGTAAATCTTCTTATATTCTCAGTATATACTCACCATACCTTTGAGCTCGCATATCTCTCTTCCTTCCTTTTTCATTATTTAACTTTTTCAACTTTTCTTAATTACAAGGCTTTGAGAACGCTAGTC